GGAGGACTAATTCCTCTGCTCAGCTTTCATTTACACACCTTCAGGATGGATTAAAACTGGTAAACAAGCTCCAAAGCTTTTGGAGGCAGGAGAGAAGGAGAAAAAAGGAAACAGTGACTCCTGATCATGTAATATTAATCTCAAATATCAGGGCTGTGAGATTATAACAAAAATCTCCCTTCACCGCCCCATGCACTGGTTTCCTATGAAAGGAGAAACAACTGCCACAGCCACTAGATAGATCTAGGTTGAGAAAGTACCTTCCTGAGGAGAGGCATGGAGGATCCTGCAGCCAATACTGACTTGCTGAAATTTCACTCCATGACCCAACACCTGGCTCTCACAAAGCAGTTTTGCACTTGGTTTGATCACATAAACTTGATTCGAGCTGCAGTCTGCTCTGACCATCAGCACTGGTCTGCATCGCAAAACTGAGCAGACATCATTCCTGCAGGGTAAAATCACTTCTCACATTTGTCCTGCCCAGGTTGTGCAGCTAAATCTTAGGTTCAAATTCAGTTTCCCCAAAGTCTTGAGCACCTCAGTCTAAGGTGAATCCATCTCTATCCGTTAAGTGAGGCTGACTTTTCACATATGCAGATTTAGGCAACCATATACTGAGCTCATTGTCTGCAGGCTTAATTCATTCCCATCAAGCTTGCAAATATATATTCAATGCACTCTTTCAACAAAAGCAGACAAAATGAGACATAAAAATGAGACATAAACTTCCCAGCATCACAGAGAAAAGAAATCTCAGTAAGGACCTTTATTTCTTTGTGACATCAGTGAAACTCCATGGATGTGAAACATAGCACTTGCAAAACAAGTGCTTTCGTTTGCATTGCACTCCAAAACATACGGCTTAAATAAACAAACCCTGGAATGTGAATGAATTGGCCGATGTATGGGATCAGACAGTCACCCCCAGCGCATCCCCGCTGACGTCTGTGGAATTCTGCCAGGGATTAATCTAACCCTGGGTTCCTGAAAAATAAAATAGCATCTGTCTTTCCTGGGCAGCAGCTTCCACTGTAGCTGGGAGCACTGCTCCTCGAGGCTTGCTCTGTTCAAACATGGAGCAGGATCTTTCACAAAGCAAATGTCACCAAAACAGGTGGTAAAATGGCACCAGGCCAGGTGGCTCGTGAAGGCAGAAGCCATTTTTAAAGGGCAGATTTTTTTATACCTCAGAGGTGCCTATGATCTCTGAAATGGTTTGTCTTCAGTAACAGATTGCTATAACACTTCTAACTATACGGAGGCTTTTTTTTTTAAAAGATTATATCATAAAATACCAGGATCCTTTTTACAAAATGCACAAGTGGAAAAAACAAAGGCTGCCCCATATCTTTTCTGAGCTTCTTAAATTTCTTAGGGTGCCCTTGCTGTGTCACCTTTGTGTCCACAGATGATGTGCATTACTCCTAGACCCTTGGGGTCCTCTGTCCCAATGACTTATTCACCACGGCTGGTCGACAAGGAACAGCCTTTGGCTGTAGGCTCAAGCTCCTATTTTGGGAGAACTAAACGCGTCTATCATTTACCAATGCTCCTTTTGCAAAAAAAGACATCCCGCCCCTCAAAAAAACCCCCACACCTCCTCACACTTTGCTAATGCTACACGTGGCATATATCTGATCCATAACAGGGCACTGCAAAAGTTGGAGCAGAGTCATCTACCAAAATGGTTCCAGCACAGAGTTTGCAGGGATTTGAGACTGGATCTATCCTGGATTCAGCTCTGGGTTTAGACATGTCCTGCCCTGCATTCTGCACTCACCGCTATATAGCGATCATTTGCCCTGAAGAAATCTTAATGGCCATGTGTCAGAGCACAGGGCTGGGCATCAGGGTTGTTTGCACCTCTTACCAGCTTTGCAGCTGATTCACTCCTACTCCTTGGACATGCCACTTCAGCCAAAATTTGCATACCAGAGCATCAGTATAAATTTTTTTTTAATCCCATTACCATTGAGTACCAAGTGCTTTGTGAAACCAGGGAGCAGGAGAACAAATTACGATCAAAAAAATCACAAAGCAGGGATGCAGCTATTTCAAATATACTCAGCTAATGTTTGTCCTGAGACCTTCATTGCCTTTTGCCTTCTCTAAGCCTGTTTGAGCATGACAGCTCCTTGGGATGGTCACGCGGAGAGCATTTCTGGCATTTAGAGTCGGGCTTATCTCACTGAACGTCGGACATGTACCTCTGAGTGGACTGTCTAAACTGCCCTCAGAGTCACTGGAGAGCACTGGGCTTTTCTAGGGTGTGATTCATCAGACGCATTATGGATGTCTTCCTCAAGATGAGATGAATCCCACCATGGAAATCCCTGTTTGTTTTCCTGGGCTATAATGCAAAGGTAACTGACTTGCTCAGATATCAAAATCCTTGCAGAAGACTGGAATTGTAGAGGAGATGGATCCCACCATGGCCTCATCTTGTCTTAGTCACCTTAAGGTAAGATTAGGCATCTATACATTTAGACACCCTCCACCAGCAGCAGATTAACACCTCCCAAGGGTGATTCAACCTACCCTAAGAAGGGAGTTCGAGATGAATCAGTCTCGGGAGTTTCCTGCTGCTGTCACTGACATGACGAGGAGTCCCTCTGGCTGCACCACCATGCTCTGATTACGGCTAGATGAGTGCAATTACACCCCAGCAAACAGAAATCTACTAATAGAAGGACATCATTTTTCCTGTATTCAGTCCTCACTAATGGAGAAAAGTTCCCCCAAACACACTTTTTTATTTCTTGTTGGTAAAGGTACTATTATTGTTATCATTATTATTATTATTGACTCTCGGGGCACAAAAATTATATCCCTTAGTACATTTTTGTTTGTTAGATGCCAGAAAATGCTTTCAGCTCCGTGTAAGACAAATATACGTCTATGCTCACCAAATTGATTTTATTCACTTTTGAACTGACAAGAGACTTCAATTTGAGTTAGGCTTTCAAAGGCCTCATTAAAGCAAACAGCCAAGCCCTGCACAGAGCTGAAATAGGACATATTTTCAGTAAAAAGTGAGATCTTAGAGATATCTTGTCATGCAGTATTTTCTTTCTTTTTGAATTTACCAGTCACCACATCTTCCAGAATCATTTAAAGTATAATTTAAGCCAAGACAAAGTTCAATGTGATAACTGCTGACTCTTTTTAAAAAACAAACAAACAAACAGGTGAACAAAAAGTGAAATAATGAATTGTTTTAAAATTGTAAATTTTTTTTTTCAAACTACTTTAACACCCTCTAGAGGTTAGAGTAATGGGGTTTCTCAAGGTATAAAAGGGGATTTTTGAGTTGACTTAATTTTTAAAAGAATCACAGCAGTCAAGTTAGGAATTTATCAGAGATTTCAAATAAATAACAGCCAATATGAGGAATTCCCTAACACTGAAGGTTTTGATCTTTATGATTCTTGAAAAGCAGAATGGAAGAACTTTTCATCCTGTCACTGGGATTATTTTCATGCATGAGACATATAAGAAATGTTTTCCCAATGAGGACTCATCAGTGTTGTTCAATCAGGGAAAGTGTGCAATGATCCATATATCCAGACACAAAAAACAGCTTAGCAGGAGGTTTTACTTTCAAACATTTTACATAGTACAACAATTACACAGAGAAATTAACTCTCTCTGCAAAGATTGAGGCTGTTTGAGAGCTATTTTTTTTTAAATGGTGGAAGTTGTTGGACCTGTCAGTTCCTCAAAAAAATGTGATAAACAAAGACAGCCCTATTTCTAGGACACTGAGATTTCATCTGTCTGGAGTCCCACTGACAAACCAACAACTGCTCATACAAAAGTGAAACTGAATACAGCTCAGCTCATCTGCTCTGTCACACGCTGGGACCTGTAATTCAGTTGATAATAACCTCAAACTGAAGACATAGGCTTGTTAGGCATCATCTTAAAATCAGATTGTCTTGCAGGCCATGCTAAACCCAAACTTGCACTGTGCTGAGACACAAAAGGCCCTTCATAAATCCTTATAAAGATTTATCAATGTGCTTCCTACACACTAGTAACGACACAGTAAGGCACACACATGTCATAAAAACTCACATGCATATTTAACATCTCCCCACTTACCTGACTCCACGGCTTCTTTAACCATCACAGCACAATAAGGGTTAATCACCTCCCCCTGGGATGGCAGGTAAGGGCCACTGTCATAGTTGGATAAACCAATACGCAGAAAGGGAGACATGACAAGTCCTGTGTCAAACAAAAGACAGGCGATATTTGGGAAGAGTCTAAAAATTCTCTTGGTTTTAACCAGTCTCTTATCTCCGTCAGACAGGGGTACGCCGGCCGTTAGTTATCCATCCAACTGGAGACTCTCTGACTTCCTCCACTGTCTAGCAAGATGATGGACTGACCGAGTGCCGCTTAACGTGCGTAAGGTAGCGTAACTCAGCTGTCGGCTTAACCATATAGCTGAAATCATCGCAGGGCTGGAAAGACCCGCAACAGTAGCTTTGAGTACTAGTGACTTGACGCCAGCCGTCAGGAACAAGAAAGACAATACACAGAAGCCAAATCAGGACTTTCTTGGCTGGGAGAACCTCTGCTGTAATTTATGTTGAGTCACGCATTCAAGAACACGAATGCTATGAGAACAGAAAGGTTTTCGGGAACACAAGGCTGTTGGAAGCCTGCAAGCTGAACATGAAACTGTGAAATAACTGCGTACTATTTATATACAGTGTGGAAATGATCTCAGGCATTCAACTGCCTGGTTGCTGACCCACATTCATAGGTGAAGCTATAAAGAGAAAATTCAGCTCATATGAACCACACTGTGTAGAGAATGGAGCAAAAACCAAAAATGGATCTCAGGATAATTTTAAGCAGCTGAAAACAGAAACATATAAAATCAAGATGCCAGGAAACACAACAAAGCCTTTGGATTGGTCTTCTCTGTAGGTTCTTTCAGAGCTTCCAGAGAGACGATTTAGTGAAACCAGAAATTATTAACTGCTGTAGCTGGTGCCCATCATAGTGCCATCTGGGCCCAAGGACTGGGATTTACCACCCAACTTTTGTGTCAACTTCTGAGCTTGTCATTCCTGGCTCCCGTCCTAGTCAATGGAGAGCAAGAGGCACTTTGAACTCAGCTGCAGATGTCTATGTCTTGGACCACCAAAGTTAGAAGACATGAGTCCTATCACCAGCTGTTACCTGTCAAATATATTGACAACAATATATTGTTCAACTACAACAGCAAAAAGTTGAACGACTTGTGGTGTGGGATGCAGCCCAAGTCTATTCTCCTTTTTACACATAAAATGCTGTATCCCAAGAACAGCTTCCTCTAGCCTCACACAGCAGAAGATCCACATTCTTTGCTGGGAATGGCATTTTCTTACCTGTAATAGTATTTTCCTGACAGACAAGTTCAGTCTCTGGCAAGAGTGGCTTCTCTTTTCATCACAGTTGTGGACAACATGGAAAGGATTTTCTCAGCTGAAAGAATGAGGATAACTGCTCCTCTGGCTGGGCTGACTTTAAAACTTCGATGCTCTGTACAAGGAGACAGGAGGCAAGACCATAAGGAGAGAGAAAAACTTGAGAAACCAAGATGTAGCCCTTTGCTTGAGTGCCTTCTCTCTTACCCAGCAGTGTGGAGCGATGAGTTTCCATCAGCCCCCTGTGCAAAAGTCTAGGGCGACTGTAAAATTCAGAACAACTTTCTGCTAGTGCATGTCGAGGTTGCAGCAGGTTGTTCTTTTGCTTGTGTCCTGGGTATGGTGAGATCTTCTCCTTCTTCCTGTTTTATAAAATGAAGACAAACAGCTGCAGTTAGCACTGGGACTGAAACACCAACTATTCTGGCCCGAATATTCACAAGTACTGAACACTCACACTTCAACACTTTCTCACACTTTGGCAAACAGATGGCCCATGCAGCCAGCTGCAGCTATTCTCTGATAGAGATTTCGGCAGGGGAGGCTTCCCAGGAGGTTTCCCTAAATTTGTTACCCTGCATAGGGCCAATCTATACAATGGACAGTATAGGAAGACTCCCTTCCCGTTTGAGCTCCTGGGTAGGTTAGCTAACAACTGGGCTGAGTTTTCAGGAAAACAGCAAAGACTCATAAACCTTCTTGGATACTGTGCTTAAAAGAGAAGAAAACCATCAGGTTTCTGGGGAAGACACGATAGGACAGAAAGAGAGAAAAAAATCCTGTGACTCACTCCTACTGTGCATCCCTAGGAATGCACACATCATGGGCCACCAGAAGCTATCAGACCTCCTCTGAAGACTGTCCAAGGACCTCTGCATGTGGCATTGCCCTCAACTGGGAAAACATCAGCACTTTTGCAATTTTACAGAGGCTAGTGGGAAAAGCAAAGCACCACCTGGGGCTGGTTGCGGGAAATTAGGATGATACTGTTCTCCTCTGGATGAGGGCAGCATCTCTCTGAAGGGTGTTTCAGAAACACATTAGCCAAGTGCCTGATGAACTTGCTCTGGAAAGCCTCTTGCATTTAGATACTCAAGCACAGGTAGCTCTGTAAGGAGGGACATTTATGGCACTGCATACTAGTACAGTGAACGGTTTATGAGTGGTCCATGGCACAAAAAGGCTAAAATTTCTGCCTGGACTGACAGAAGCAGAGAAATCTGATCAAATTAAGTAGAAAAAAATTTCTTTAACAGGAAGAAATATATGCATATATATTCCCCCCTCTGTTTTGATGTAATTATTTAGCCATTTCCTTTGTTTCAAAAAATAAGAAGCCTACTTCATCTAAAGACAAAAGGAAAAACAAATCAAAGGGTCTCTGGCAGCAGAAGGGAAATCCAAGTAGTTGCATGTTCCGTCTGCGCAATGTAGCATCAGTGTGGAAAGCTAACGAGCCAAAGACTAAGGGCAACAGTCAAAACATCTGCATCATGCCTCTTTGTGTGAATGGAGACATATTCTCTCTGCCTCTACCATACTCGACTAATACTTCTGGTGACTGCTGAGCAAGAGATCTTCCAAATGCCCAGTTCCCACAACCTTGGCTTTAAGAACTTATTGTTCCATGGATGGGAGCAAGAGGAAGTGCAGGGAGGGCTGTAAGCACTCCCTTACCAGGACTTTCAAAACTCACTTTTAAAAACTCAAGAGTGCTAGCCAGAATTACTAGTCAACATGCTGGGCATCTAAGAACATGAGCGTTGCTAAAGGAAGCCAAAGGTTTTTTGATTACTCCTCAGCACTAAAAAGTAGTAACACTTTTGGCTCAAGTACTAAAAAAACAAAATTAGGGCTAAAAGTTTGGGCCTGGCATTCATCACATTTCAATGAAATCCATGTAGTTACAACATAGTTAAAACTGTGGAAGCATCTTGTCCCGCTAAATACTCACATCACTGCTCCAAAAATCACTGGTTGGATGTGCTACAAGATACCTGTTCAGATCTGTTCCCTAAACAGTGACATTTAAAACTTTTGTTAGTCTTAAATGCTGGACACCTCCTCCCTCCCCTCTAGTGCAATACTTCATTTTGGCTCTGTGCAATCAAGTACTTCATGAACAGGTTTCCCAGAGAGGTTGTGGAGTCTCAATCCCTGGAGATATTCAAAAGCTGTCTGGACATGGTCCTGGGCAACTAGCTCCAGGTGGACCTGCTTGAGCAGAAGAGTTGGACAAGATGACCTCCAGAGGTCCCTTCCAAGCTCAACCAGCCTGTGATTCTGTGAAAACATGGGTGGGACAGATCTCACGTAATCCTAGATGTCAACAGCATCTGCATCTCCATGTGGGGCAGTTACCTGGGCTCCTGAGAGAGGAACAGAGAGAATCTGGAACCCTCAGATCATGAGCTGGACCCATTTCAGACCCTTCCGTTAGCATGTGATGAACTCTTTTTTCTCCTTTGAGAGCAAAGGGGAATGATCTGTTCACACAGACAACCTCCACTGTAGAGATCTGGTTTTGATCAGATTCCTCAAGCCATTAAATTTCAAAAAATCCCCTGCATTGTATCAGATCTAAAAGACTTATGCGGAGACTTCACATAAACCAGTCTATTGCATGAGATGTTCTGCAGCAACCAGCAAACAGGCAAGAATTTTCTACCCAGCTGCAAAGCACATAGGTTTGGCACACCTAGTGTTAGCACTAACAAATCAACAGCTGCCCATATAAGCCTCACAAAGGCTGGCTAAAAGCTAGCTAAAATCAGAGTTTACCGTTGTACCAGCCTCGTGTGAGCACTCTGCCCTGGGGTGAATTTTTTCACTCTGTCCAATAAATCAGACAGATAACTGGTTTCATGCTTCTCTCTCACTGTCTTTCCTGAAACCACCTTGGCTTTGGCCCAAACGTCTGTTTTCCAGGTCATATCTCCAGCGTTTGCCACTACAGGACTGCTACTTGGCTCACATCCACAGTCGTAAACAATTAAGGAACTACACAACTCAGCTCCAGCAACAGCTCACTGTAATAGCAGCAGTTTAATTTAACACTAGAAGCAGCTGCAATGGATTTGGAGAGTGTCTGCTTAATTTCCCAGTGGAAAGGATACTATAAGGTATCTGAAAACTAAGCATGGAATGTATCTTTCTAAAAAGGGCCATCTGCAACCTCTCCTCCAATAAAACACTAAACAGTGTAATTGGGGTTCAGCAATACTGCACCCTGCTTCCCTGGCACAGGGGAACTTTGCCCACTCTGGAGAGTAATGCAACATATGGAAATCATTCCCAGATGACATTAGGAAGTAATAAACTCCTTAATATCCTTAATCAAATGTGGTTAAGCAAAGAGGAAGAAATGAGCTCCTGCTCTTAGTCAGCGGAAGAATGGCGTTGAGGACAGATGCCTTTAGTGGGATTTATGCTTTTGTGTTTCACTGAATGAGAATGGATGCATGCATGACGCTGTAAAGATGGCAATTTATTGAATGAGGGCCAACTGAGAGGGGAGGGAAAGTATTTCTGGGTTTGAGATGCTGCTTTCCTAATGTCATCAAACTCACATTTTTCTAGAGGTCAGAGGGAATATTTCCAGCTCTCTCCCCTTTTTGAGGCAAAACCATGCATGCAAAATGAGTTCATAATCTGAGGATCAACGTCACCAAGAGCAAAAGGAACCAGGATTTATAGCTGAAGGGTATGAACTTTCCTTCACCCCCTTGAAAGGCATCTCCCAGCCAAAAAAGCAGGTCCTGACCCTGCAAAGATGTTTATATAGCTGGTGAAGACCTGCACATGAGCATAACTCAACACACCTCAGGGTCTTCCTGCAGATTTCAAGAGCAACACTGAACACCAACAGTGATGGCTGGAGTCCCTGTCTCTGCCCCCTGACTCCTCATATCCCACAGACCACACAGTAGTGAACAGGGATCTAAATAACTCACTTGAGTGACTTTTATTTTGGGTGCCCGTATCACCTGTTATTTCAATGGAGATCAAATCAGCCTGCTCATAAAGGAGGAAGTTCAGAACCCCTCTGGGTGCCACCCAACATTTCTCACACTTGCCTTTTTCAAGAATGTGGATCAGAGGAGGAGGAGGAAAAGGAGGGGAATTTGCATAGCCATTTAATTTTCCCTCTCTCCATAGTCAGCCACCCCATCTGCAGCATCTCACAAAGGCAGTGGGGGGAGAGAGCAAGGAAAGGTAGGATGAGCAGTCTCTGATAGGATTGGTACAGTATCAGACTCCATGCAACTAAAGAGCCTCCCAAGACTTCATGAAACAACTTGATTTCAAAACATAGGTGATGCTCTCCACGCAAACCCTTCCCCATCGCTTGCAGACACAGAGGACCCAGGCAAAATATTTCTTCTGCCATGTGGAAATGAGGCTTTCGGACTTTTCTGGGGCCAAAGGCAGGCACAGGAACGGACATTTCTCTTTAAAAGTCTCTGGGACATCTCGTGGTGGTGTGTTTAGAGCAAGTTGCTTGTATCAGTAACAGGACCTGGTCTCCTATATATAGCCTACAAACATGGCTGTTTGGACTCTGCTGAGTTCACGTGGTTTCTTCCTGTTGCATTTGTTGTGCACAAAGCAAGACCGGAGCCTCGGGTCTACTTTCAGATCTTATACATGATTTAGCTACAGTGGAGTTAATGCAGGTGAACAAATTTACAGCTGTGAAAGGGTTGGTATTAGTCCCACTGAGGGAATTGCAGAAAATTGTGTCTGGGAATGCCGGTGGTTGCTGCATGCATCTGCAGACTCTAGGACAGAATCTAGAACCATTCTAGCAGACACATGTATAGCTCGGTCTTAAAAACAGGGAATTTGTGCTTTGCTATCCTTAGGTCTCCGCATAACAATTGCTTTAACCTGACCTGAATGTAAGCTACGTCTAAAGACATGGTTCAACTTTCCACCCCATCTCACACTGCAGGTTCCCAACCTCTTCCAGCACAGCCTTGTGTCTGTGTAGGGTTTGGAATCAAGGAACAGGTTTCTCTAAAAGAAACCCTTCTTCTTTTCTTTACTTGACAAGTGACTTTGCAGCTGCCTCCA